AACCCGTGGCCTTGATGTTATCAGCACCGCACTCTCCCGAGTGAGCCACGGGCCGGCCCACTAAGAAGTCTTAACTCATTTATTTACTGATGATTAGTACTGTCAAGTGACAAGAGAAAGACACAAGGTAGTATACTATGATAGTATTTTTTGTGTTTCTCTCTCTCCATTTAGCTTGTAAGTTTCTGTTTACCAAAAACTAAGTCAGCAGTCACTTAATGAGGACTTACGTTTCATAAACTAAATTTACAAAGATGAATGAGAGCATCTTGTCGTCAGGAAGCTCAAGAAAGGAAGAGAGACAGGCAAATAAGTTGCTATAATACATTGTACTTACCATAATAAAGACCATCTATCCTCATGCATGTACACACATATACCTATAGACACACACATACTGAAGTTTGTAATAAAGGAAGAAACAATTAACCCTACCTTGGTAAAGGGAAGTGAGAATAAAGAAACAATGAAAGGGAGCATGTGAAATGCTGAAATTAATTAACCATGTTCAGAGATGATAATGAACTAAGGACTTAGCAGTAAAGGAAGACCTTATGGAGGCACCAGATGGATAACAAATTCATAACCAGGAAAAAGGAAGATTAAGCAAGAAAGCCTGAATGTGAAAGCTTACTATGAGCTCAGCAATGCTCCCAGTGTTTTATGTGTGAATTCATTTAATCCCCACTACAACCCTGTGGTGGTGGTGCTTCCATTGCACAGGTGAGCAAACCAAGGCAAAGAGAGGCCACACCTAGCCCAAGCCACATGGCTACTTAGAAGAGGTAGCAGGAGAACCCAGGTACTCTTAGAGCCCATCCTCTTAACTAAGCTCGCACTGGAGATAAATTTGGCAAGCTCTGATCTCTGATTATATACAGTGGAATAATCCCCTCTGAATATGCTAATAAAAATAAGACATTCAAAAGGCACAGCAGGGCAGCCTTTTAATTTTAAGTTCTGTCAAAACACTTGTATAGGCCTCCGTTTGTTCATGACCCTTCTCTTATTTTGATACACTATGTAAGCAATATTCTCTTAGTTTTAAAATATATTCTGTGAAGCCATTCTTTCTTGTGAAAGATAAACACCTGTTGAAGCCGTTTGTTGCTACTCATGATTAAGTACACAGGTAGGAAAAGGGAACAAACAAGAAGTGCCACATAACATTTCTTCCCTTATCACTAATTTCTCAAAATATAACTAGTATTTAAATCAGCTATATTTACCTTGTAAACATAATTATTGTTAACGACTTAAAACAAAAGATGACTTTTTGGCTTTCTTAGGACATTTTCTGAATCTAAGCCAAATTGTTCTGGGCATGTGTTAGACTTTAGAGAATTATTTGCAACCATAAAAATTAAATATAATACTACATTTCTCTTCTCTTAGATAAAAAATAAAAATTTAATTATTGGTAAGTTTTAAAATTATTATTCATAGGGCCGGCCTGTGGCTCACTTGGGAGAGTGTAGTGCTGATTAACACCAAGACCATGGGTTCGGATCCCTATATAGGGATGGCCAGTTGGCTCAATTGGGACAGCGTGTTGCTGACAACACCAAGTCGAGGGTTAAGATCCCCTTACTGGTCATTTTCAAAAAATAATAATAATAATAAAATAAAATAATTATTCATTTCTGTCAGAAATATATGATGATCATGTCTCCTGATATTCTGAAAAGTTACACTGATGAGCTGAGAGGTAATACACTTTAAAAGAACTATCATATAATGCTAAATAGATAATATTTTTGTTATTAGTTGTATATAGCCATTGACTGCTATTAACAGAATGAGAAAAATATTAGTAAATCAAACAAGTCACATCTTCTTCATATTACAGAGTATCATCAAATTCAGTTAACAGTGTTATAAGGGAAATACTTGTAATGAAAGTATTGGCATGGCAAATTCACATACCCACAGAATTAAAACAGACTGACTGAATTTACAACTACCCTCTGTGGGGCACTAGAATGGGGGCCACAGGCCTCCTGAATCTCACTTAAGTGTTCAATGCCAGCCCCAACATTCACCCACAGCGGGCAAGGGAGTGGAGTTATACATGAAGAATCATCTTAGGGGCACAGTTTCCCTGGAGACAAGGGGGCAGGCTACATAAACTGTCATGAGTTTTGCGATTTTAAAAAGCAACTCTCCCCACTCCATTAATGGAGTTTCTGAGTTTCCATGTATACGTCACTCTAAAAACGTGTCAACATTCCATTTTAATGCTTACACAACTCACGTAAATAATTTAACTTATGTTAAATAATCCCAAAACCTTTATGCTTACTATTAACTTGGAGCAAAAATCTATATTATAACAAGTCTATGTGTGTTGGTTAATATTACAACATTTTAGTAAACTTGATGTTTTAACTTGGAGTAACATTTCATTACCTAGCTCCAAAATGTCTGAAGGATGGAGATGTGAACTCTTATTGCAAAATTCATTCACTTTCTTCTCCAATACTGCTGCTTCTTTTATTTGTGAATACTTCCGAATGTAGAAGTGGCAAGGATGTATTACGTGGCTAACAAAAACTAGCTCTGGAGAATCTGGATAAGTATATTTAAACCACATTAATAAACTACAAGTTAGAAAATAATTCACAAAAGGTTAAAACTGTGAAATCCTCTAAAAGAATAAGTGTCTTGTGGCATTGTGAACTCTAGATTTTGTAGGCTCCAAGAAAGAGTCCAAACCCCAAATGACTCATAAAAACAATGGATCACTTTCACAATGAATTCATTAGCAAACTGAACTCCAAATATTCTATATTACTTCCAAAATACATTATATAAGTGGAATCAGTTCATGTGGTAGATTCTGAAGTCAGAGTATATGCTGTAATTCCACTGTATTACAAAACTTCAGAGTTTATTTATGAACATATTTAGAATTCAGATCCCCACTGATAACAATAAGGTTTCTTTTTCTTTTTTTTTTTTTAAAGATGACCGGTAAGGGGATCTTAACCCTTGACTTGGTGTTGTCAGCACCACGCTCAGCCAGTGAGCGAACCGGCCATCCCTATGTGGGATCCGAACCCGGGGTGTTATTAGCACCGCACTCTACCGAGTGAGCCACGGGCCGGCCCAACAATAAGGTTTCTAAAACAGCTCACAAAAGCAGTTCAATACTCTACTACAGGGTCAATGTAGCTCACAGCCAGTCTGAATCCCAAGCTTTTCAAATCAGGTTAGAGAGGTGTAAAAAAATATCTGGGTAAAGCCAAAGTGTGTTCAGGTAGAGGTGGGGTGGGTAGAAGTAGTTAGTGAGAAAACTTTTTACATACAAGGGCACTCCAAAAAATTCATGGAAAAACAGAATTAAAAGATAAAACAAATCTTTCCATGTACTTTTTGAAGTACCCTTATATAGAAGCAATTAAGCCAAGTGTTTCTAGTGATATGAAAAGATGTCCAAAGCATAATGTTAACATAAAAAACCAAAGTGTATATAGTATGCTATGTTTTGTGTTTAAGAAAAAACATAAAAAAGAGTGTTAGAAAAATAACTGATGTATATTTATTTATATATGCATAAAGAAACTTGGAGGCAGGGAGAAACTGAATAGAATGGGAAGAGGGTGAGAGAATGTTTCCAAGTATTTTAATACATATTTAAGTTTTGAGCAATGTAGATGCTTTATCTAGTAAAATTGCTTAAAAACAAAGTCTAGGAGGAGTTAAATTGAATAGCCAAGTATAGATATATGACAGTGAAGGAGTTAAGGACGTGCCAACCCAAAATACACTGACTTGGTATATTGATAATTTTGAGTTAAAAACACTGTAGAAACTGTACTTGCAGAAAGGGCTATCTGACCCGCCTTTTCCTACATTTGAGCAGACTGTAAAGATTTATTCCCTACAGAATTTGGTGCCCAACATGGGGCCCCTTCACTGGCTGAATCACTGCTCACTCTGGACCTGCTGCAGCTGAGATCTCACGCCTGTAACAAAAGGCTGGCAAAGCTAAGATTTCTTACTGTCAGCCTCCCAAATCTCTGCCTGTAGGGACGGGTCAAGGCAAAGGTGGTAAGAGTCCCTGCTTGTCTCTTTCTCTAAATTTAGACTGACAGGAGAAAACATTTGAACTAGTTCTTCGGATAAAGCAACTTTTGGTGTTTTGTGAGTACTCTAGATTTTTATTTTATCCTTTCCTCCCAGAGGTGGTCTTTGTGCTCCTTTGTCTGCCTTTGTGCTGTTTGTCACAAGGACAGGAACAACAGCCTAAGAACACAGGCGTGGAGCCCTTACAAACCTGCTGTTTGAGCTGGCCTCACAGACTGGTGACTTCTCATCAGACCAGTGTCTATTCAGACAAACTTTGCTGTGGGTCCCTGAAACAAAAATGGGATGAGGTTCTCCTCACATCTTGTTTTATGTCTTAAGAGCCTGGCTTTGTGACCAAAGAGGACAGCCTCTCTGACCTCTGCCAACTGAGGGATGCAATGTGTCTGCTTAGCATCTGGCATCCAGCCAAAAGGCTGGGAACTCAAGACACAAAAGTAATAAAACAGCATTCTCTTTGTCTGACTGTGCCAAGCTCTCAGGGGAGTATATCAGAAGAGGCCTGGTCCATTAAGGCTTTTGTTGTTTGAACCTTTGTTGCCTGGTTAGTTTTGGAAAACTCCCATCCCAGTACTGCCTGCCTAGTGTCACAGGTTGGCAGCTCTGTGACTAGAATTCTCTCACATTGAGTGGGAGACCAGAGACATTATCTGTGCAAACACTATCCTTAACTGCCGGTGGCAACAAAGGTCTCTCACTTTCTCAGTCTATCTCTGGGAGTAAACTTTGGATCGTGGGAGCTGCTTCTTCTGTGCCCACTCCATGAATGCCTCTTGCTTGCATGGTAAAGATTTATTCAAAGCTTGGACAAAGGTCTCTCACTTTCTCAGTCTATCTCTGGGAGTAAACTTTGGATCGTGGAAGCTGCTGCTTCTGTGCCCACTCCATGAATGCCTCTTGCTTGCATGGTAAAGATTTATTCAAAGCTTGGAAAGTTACTTCTTGGCTTATTAGATTAAATCACTATTAGAATAAATATACCAGTGAACATCCCAATTATCAACAGCCAGAAAATGGATCCTTTGAATTAGAAAGACTTCTATATTTTAAAAAAATCTTAGCTCTTATTCTAAACAATTGTCCTATTGGTATTTATGTGGAGATCAGATCGAAAAAAAAGACATAAAAGTGTCACAGCTAGATTTAGAGATTCCCTTAAAAAAATTAAAGAATACAAATCAGACTTCGGACAAAAGTTTAAATCTGCACCCTCCGTAAATCCTCCTTCTCCACCCATGTACACCCCCCTTTATCCCTAACTCCCTGTCCCTGACCCTCTAGAAGATCTTTTGGATCTCTAGGCCTCTGGTTTAAAACTACCCCTCCTCAAAATCCAGCTCCATTCTCCTCAGCAAAATCCCTTGATTTTTTTTTTTTNTGTCACAGGTTGGCAGCTCTGTGACTAGAATTCTCTCACATTGAGTGGGAGACCAGAGACATTATCTGTGCAAACACTATCCTTAACTGCCGGTGGCAACAAAGGTCTCTCACTTTCTCAGTCTATCTCTGGGAGTAAACTTTGGATCGTGGAAGCTGCTGCTTCTGTGCCCACTCCATGAATGCCTCTTGCTTGCATGGTAAAGATTTATTCAAAGCTTGGAAAGTTACTTCTTGGCTTATTAGATTAAATCACTATTAGAATAAATATACCAGTGAACATCCCAATTATCAACAGCCAGAAAATGGATCCTTTGAATTAGAAAGACTTCTATATTTTAAAAAAATCTTAGCTCTTATTCTAAACAATTGTCCTATTGGTATTTATGTGGAGATCAGATCGAAAAAAAAGACATAAAAGTGTCACAGCTAGATTTAGAGATTCCCTTAAAAAAATTAAAGAATACAAATCAGACTTCGGACAAAAGTTTAAATCTGCACCCTCCGTAAATCCTCCTTCTCCACCCATGTACACCCCCCTTTATCCCTAACTCCCTGTCCCTGACCCTCTAGAAGATCTTTTGGATCTCTAGGCCTCTGGTTTAAAACTACCCCTCCTCAAAATCCAGCTCCATTCTCCTCAGCAAAATCCCTTGATTTTTTTTTTTTTCCTTTTTGTCTTTTTTCATGACCGGCAACGGATCGCAACCCTCAGTGTCCCGCCCATACCGGACCGGGACCGGCAACGGGATCGCAACCCTCGGTGTTGCACCCGCACCTTGCTCAGCCAGGGCGCGGCCGGTCTGTATGTGGGATCCGAACCCTTGGCGGGAGCGCCGCCACACTCCCAAGCGACGCACTGGGCCGGCCCAAAATCCCTTGATTTTTAAAATTCCTCCAACCTCCCCAGAAAATTCCTTAGACATCCAGCTGCCTACTTTGGCTTCCCTTTCTCTGCATAGAAAGCCCTCCTGCCTGATCTGCAGGCCTGGGGCATACCGGTCACCCGAGTAAAAGCTGACAGCCAGGAAGTAAATCTGATACAGGTTCTGGGAACACAAGGCAAGGCTCATTTTACTGTGCTCACAACTCCACCTGCTTTCCAGACTCTGTAATGACACTCGTGGCTCCAGGCCTCCCTGTGCAATGCCCCCACTGAGACTGTAACCTGGAACCCCACCTCAAAAAATTCATGTTCCCTGGACAGCAGCAGATCTCTTAAATTACAAAGCCCTTTTTCTCCCACTTTCAGAAGCTCCTACCAAATTTAGAGAAGAACTGGAGAGATTAGTAGCCGTTCATAACCCCACTCATAGGGACCTAAACTGGCTACTTAGGGCTGTAGTTCCCACCCATAATTATACTAGTTATCAGACTGGCCAGAAGGCCTCCTGGGACACACCCAACCCCCAACAGGGGAACAGATGGCCAGAGCTCCTCCCTATCCCTCTGGCAAACGATAAGGAAATGGCTCAGCTGGATGCTGACACTCAGGGTCCCAAGAGTGATGGCGGCAGCTTTCCTTCCTAAGGTTAAGTTGGCCTAAGGCTGAATTATGTACTCAGAAGGAGGAAGAATATCCTAAAGCCTTTTTCAAGAGATTTACACAAGTTTTTCAAAGGCATTCTGCATTAAATCCTGAAGGCCCAGTGCACAGAAATCTAATTTCTACTCTGGTCAAAAATCTTCCTGATATAAAGAGGCAAATCCAAAACAAGGTAGTTGGTTGGGCTGGTCACTCTCTAACTGTTATAAATGGAAGCAGCTAAACAATTCTTGGAAGACAGCTCACAGAGGAAAAAAAGAACTGAAATCCACAGTCCTTGCCTTACAGGTTAAATCTTTACAGAAAGAAAGGCAGGTGACAGAAAGAAAGGCAGGTGTCTAAGAATGATAAAGTCTTCTTGTTCTTTTGGTCAGTCACAAACCTTTCCTCCTTTGCCTTCAGATGTTTGCAGATATTGTAAAAAACCCAAACATTGCAAAGACAACTGTCCTGCATCTAACCAAAAAAAAAAAAAAAGAAGGGCCGGCCTGGTGGCGCACTGCTACAGTGCGCCGCTTTGGAGTGCGGCGGCGCTCCCGCCGAGGGTTCGGATCCC